CCACAGCCTTACCATGTAGTATCAGCAGGTATGTTACTAGTTAACTCAAGAGCAGTGGCTAATTTTATTTTTAAAGACTAATTTTAGAGAGCGAGCAAGCAAGCGAGCAAGCAGAGGGGAGACGGTTAAGAGGGATAGACAAACTCCAAGCAGACTCTGTGATAAGCGCAAGCCCGATGTGGGACTCAATTTCACGACCCTGAGATCATGACCTGAATGTGGCCAATGTTTTAAAATGAACATCACTGGGGCACCTGGATGGCTCAGTCTGTTGAGTGTCTGCCTTCGGCTCCAGTCATGATCTTGGGGTCCCTAGGATCAAGCACGTCGGGCTCTCTGCTCAGTGGGGAGCCTACTTTTCCTTCTCCCTCTGCCTGATGCTTCCCCTGCTTGTGCTGTCAAAATCTTAAAAAAAAAAATAAAAATCATTGACTATACAGATACCTGAATCATTTCACAAAAACTCTACTTTTCAAACTAAAAACTAATATGTAACTATTTTCTTCTAATACTTTTCTTTATACTGAAAATATCTGAATATTTTATAGTTATTTTTACAAGTCACAAGAATCATTTATAGTCCTAAATTCCATGTTCATTTTGCAAAACAAAGCATACTTGTTTTATTTTTTTTTTAAGGATTTTATTTATTCATTTGAGACACAGAGATAGAGAGAGAAGAGAAAGCACGAGCAGGGAGAGAGGCAGAGGGAGAGGGAGAAGCAGGCTCCTTGCTGAGCCAGGAGCCCGATGTGGGGTTCAATCCCAGGACCCTAGGATCATGACCTGAGCGGAAGGCAGACGCTCAACCATCTGAGCCACCCAGGCGCCCCAAAGCATACTTGTTTTTAAGGATTTTATTTTTTTAAGTAATTACTATACCCAATGTGGGGCTGTAACACACAACCTATGATCAAGAGTTCCATGCTCCACCAACTGAGCCAGCCAAACGCCCTAAAGCATACCTTTTTTAAAAATTAAGTGCACAATCAAAATTGATGCATAAACATAAGCTTCACCATTGTGGTATGTTGAAGGATGATGAGTAGAAATTCAGCAATTCAATGAAAATAAATGACAACAGTTAAACACAAACAAATAAAAAAACGAATGCAAGCGGTTACAATAAAAATCTTTATTTAGGTTTGGTCAGTACAGGTAAGATCTACTGGAGTCACAGAGCAATATGCATTAACAGGATACAACAGTTCATAAAAACTGAGTAACTATGCACACAAATTTCTTAAACATTCAGTCACCTAAAGAGAAAATGCACAGATGTATGGTGGAAAAAACTGTATCTAACACTGAAACTACTATAGGACTCCATCAGCAAGTCCAACTTTTAGTGATAAAACTACTGTACTGGGCAAACTTGGCAGTCAGAAACCCACATCTACTCTAACAAGTCTGAATGGTGCGTAAATATAGTAACAGCATGAGTAAGAATGCCCTTCCACAGCACAGGTTCTAGGAGACACATATTTATACAGACAGCATTGTGTTATACTTTAAGGAAAGATTTCCATTTACAACTTCACATGAACTCATATAAAAATAACTTGACCCTACACAAAATGTCCTTTTAGCAACATTCAAGGTAATTAACTGTTACAATTTCCGAAGTGGCAGAGGTATTGAAGCAAAGAAGGGGAGGGAAAAAAAAAAGGGGGGAGGAGGAGAAAAAAAAAACCACACCCACAAAAAAAAGGCAAATTGTGACAAAAGTATGCGTTAATTTCCTGGACAGTATCCTCTCCCAAATTAAATGACACTGTATAAAAATTTGCTGGAAAAAATATTACAAAACTGAACCCTGTACATTTACACTTGAGTCCAAGCCATTCTGAACGTGGCGGGAACCCGCAGTTCGGTTACCTTTCCCACTCACTGTTTTCTCCTCTTGAGGGTCATGATTGGAGTCTGTGTCATTTGAGTGGTGTGTGAGAGAGTTTTCACTGCCCGTGGGAGAGTCTACACTTTCATACCCCGCACTGAGTTGATTTACGTAACTACTACCTCCTCTGCCAGTTCTCTCCTCTGAGCTGTTGGAGGCCTTATTACCATTCCCAGGAGAAGAAGGAAAGTCATCTTCGGCTGTGTCCCCCTCCCTGTGAAATCCAGACCCAGACGTCCTCGGCCGGGAGGAACTGCCATTACTTGGTCCGTTGGCCAGCCGACTGCAGTCTTTACCTGTGGCCTCTGCCTGTGCTACAGGCTCAGAAGATGTAGTCCTGCTGGTACTTGGGGCTGGAGCTTGAGACTGCTGCTGTTGGTACTGAGCCAACTGTTGGCGAGTCTCTTTCAGTTGTTGCTGAAGAACTAGAATGGTGCTCTGCATACCCTCTACTTCTTCATCAAGTTGAATGATGAAGTCATTCAGTTCTGTGCAAAGGAGAGTCAAACCTACTTTAATATCTCTTAAACATATTTTATTTTTTTAAAGATTTAGAACATATTTTAAAATATTAGTGTCTGTCACAAAGCCAGTCAATACATGTTTAAGTGAACGAATACAATTCTAAAAATCACGAAATATTTTAATTAAATTTTTTTTGCTTGCAATTTAAGAATGAGTTTGAGTTTTTTGGGGGTGGGGAGTGGGGGAGACATGCTTAAAATACCTTAAAGCAACCAAATTAAAACTGATTCAAACCATCTAGCCATATACAACTGATTATAGTCCCCCAAATCCATTCCACATGTTTACCTGGGGCCCACATGGCTGGTTCCCTTTCTCCTTACCCCCCCAGCCAGTGTTTGTCTCAGCTCCACAGCAGGTTTAGCCCTAGGGAGCAGTGGGTCCTCTACTCTAACACTCCAAAGAGGCCTATGCTATAATGAAAACAAAAATTAGAGAAAATAACTGCTGAAAACTGATAAAATACACATGTCCATTAAGTCCTAAAAAGGCTTGGGAGAGGGGAAAGTCCTTGACTACTATACAAAATCTCCTAGTCACTATGTTTACAAATATTAAGAGCTAATAACTATCACTTTGAAAAGGTACGTTAAAAGGTATCATATTGACTACTGATCTTTGCAATTATCAAATATATTGACTTTCAATTTATTTATTTTTAGAATTGTATTAATTTGATAGAGAGCAAGCAGAGGGCACAAGAGAGAAGCAGGCTCCCCGCTGAGCAGGGAGCCTGATACAGGGCTTGATCCCAGGACCCTGGGATCATGACCTGAGCCAAAGGCAGGCACCCCTTAACTTTCAATTTTATTTCCAGAGTTCAGATATTTTAGTTACTATTCATCTTCCTCAAAAAGAGAAAAAACAGAAGGGATACAGCTACACTTGCCCCCCCAAAAAAGGCGGGGGAAGAAGGGGGACGGCAGTGGCCGACAATTAAGTCCAGTTTATCTTTAGCAAATTTAAATATTACATCTTATTCACTAAACAGGACCTTAACAGGTACAATTAATTCTGTATTTTTAGACCACTGGAAATAGCCAAATACTTCCAAGACTTACACTTAGAATATTGGTTAAGTGAAGATAACCCCCTTTTAAATATTGAATATGAATTTGTATATGTAATGCCTTAGTAATAAACAGCCTTTCACCAAATTCCACCCCCCCCAAAAACCAAAAACTTATGAAATTTGCACAATAAACAAGAGTGTGTGTGGGGGGGGACCACTAAAATTAAATGGCTTTGCTGACTCAACTAGAAATGTTTCATTTGTAACTTTTCAGGACCACTGGCACAGATTAGTACATACAGAATCTAATCTATTAATATTCATGCCTGGCAAATTTTTTAAAGCCAGTGCAAAGTTAACCAAACTTTTCAAAAAAACCCTTACCATCCTGACTGCTTTTAAGCTCCTCACTATATTTCTTCTGTAAAGCCAACTCTGCTTCAAGTTGTGCAATACGTCCCTGGGACAGCTGCCTTCCAAGCTCTTGATTCTCCTGGATAAGCATTCGACACTTCGCCATTAACTTTTTGCCTGTTTGGCTGCAAAGGAAAGAGCCATCCATCATAAAATGAAGACAAGTGTCTACAACCTTGTTTGCTTGCAATTATTACAGCAATAGATGTTAACACGTACAGAATGTAACTGTCACGGCAGCTGCCTCCCTATAATTACCATCTTCTTTTCTGGAACACGTCCATCTTCTGCATTTCAGTATTTTGCCAATACAGCAGCAAAAATAAACCCTAAACAAAAAGTACCCAAATGGCCACATTTTCTATTACACTAGTAATGGATTCTGATATCTATTTTCATCCCAAATTATCATTTGAAATGGAAACAAGCCAGTTAACTAATGCAAACCTCAGATATACCAATATTAATAAAACACTAAGGTACTTAGTTTCATGGAACAGAAAAGTTCTTGAAAAGGTAAATGCAATGACGTAGAGTATATTTATTGTTGCTAAAGTAGCATTTGATGAGGGTGTCTCTTCATAGGCAGCTGTCATAAGAATGTTTATTGCAGTAAATGAGGCATAGTCAATAATTGTTTTTAGAGACTTTTAATATTTTTAAAGTATCTCTACACCCAACGTGGGGCTTGAACTCATGACCCTGAGATCAAGAGTCACATGCTCTACTGACTGAGGCGCCCCTAAAAAACCTTTTTAAAAAGAGCCTTAAGAATATTTCCATCCACTAATCCCTCATTTAACTTTTTTATATACTTTTGAGCTGTCTTAAACTGTAACACAAGTTTTTAAAAATTTAATATTGATATGTGGTTAAGATTTTATCCATGTTATAAAAGATTACCTTTAGAACAGGAAAATAAGATTGGGGTTGTTTATCACAAATAATGTAAATATGTTAAGTATCTGCCAAATTAGGAGCACCAAACTTTCCACAAATTAGTTACCAAGTATTAGTGCAACCTTCTATAGAACCTACACACACATACACAGCAACTGCAAAAATGCAATCAAAAGCCTTGATAACAGTCCTCAATGAAACTTTGCCTTTTCTTTAGACTCAACGATAACAAGAGAAATGATCACTTTTAAAGGGATCTGATTTAAGTACATAATTGTGATGTTACCTGATACTTGACTAGGACAGCCTGATATTTAAAAAAAAAATTAAGTGGGCTCTACACCCAATGTGGTGCTTGAACTCACAACCCCGAAATCAAGAGTCACATGCTCCACCAGGGACAGTCTGATACTCTTCTGATGGTGTTAAGTTCAGAAAGACCTAACCTAACTGGTTAGAAAATTTTTTTGCTGACACTTTCTTTCCTTCACCTACCGGGGCTTTCACCCGTCTGATATATCACTTCAGAATGCATCTGAACCTGATTACCAAAGGCCTTCAGACTTAAAATGAGAGCATTTTGTAAATGATTCTCATTCTTTTGACTCCATGTTGTAAGGTGTTTTTTTTTTTTTTTTTTACCCATAGTACATATCCTACCCTAATGTAATTCAAGCAAAAGTTGGTAATTTAAATTTATCTGTGGTACAGTAAAACCTGGGTTACTGCTGCTCAAAGCAGCCTCAGGTGAAAGCACTTGCTAAGGGTTTTATTCTCTATATGGCAACTTTAGCTGGTGTTCTTGTTCATTGCAACTGTAGCTCCAGACAACTCCCCTCCCCGCCATTTCCCAGTATCACCCTCAGACTTTGGCCTCCAATGAACAGTTTAGAAATCTCACGAGGGAGTTCAGAGATAGGTACCACTGTCAGGTAGTGGCACTCCTCCCACCTTACTGTCCATGCTCCCATAATTTTGTTTTCTTACACAAAGTCTATATAGCATCAATGTTCTCCAACTAACCTGAAAATCCTTCTATGAATTTGAGAGCAGAAAAAAATACTGTAAAACCAGTAATTTGTGACCTAACTTAATCTCATATAAAGTCTATCATAAAGTGAATGCAAAAAAATGTTTCATTCATAGTCGTAGTACCTTTTTATAAAGGCCTGCTCTAAGATAATCCTATCACTTCTACAAGTCTTAACAAAACTGTTCTTTACGTATTTTGTCATTTTACCATGTCATATAAGATTTATGTTGTGTTCATCACATCCCCCAAAATGAGAAGAGTTCAATTACAAGTAACTGTCTTTGGAATAATTTTCTTTAATTACAACCCCCCCCAACCCATTCCTAAAATCAAATAATTCCAAAGAAAATATGAAAGGAAACAGTTTGAGAGAAAGATTTATGAAAAAGAACAGACACTATACATTGCTTTATAATCACAAGGAAGGGGGCCAAGATATCTGAGAGGTGTACACAAAATTACCTAAATGATTAAATGCAAAACAGAACTGTCAAAACAACTGAAATAGATCGCTCTTAAATACTCTTAAAATATATGCAGTGTTACATGTATGGAATATTTTAACTAAAGCAGAGAAGATAACTCAATCTTTCTCTTTCAAAATTAAAACAGAGTAAGAAAGTGTGTGTATGTGGGGGGGACCCACAACCCATTCTATTTTAATTATTCCAAACACAGTACTGACTGAGCACTGTTTCACGTTAATGATGTATTTATAGTACCGTTTATAGCCTATTCTTTACAGAACAAAAATCCATTTACAGGTGATTAAAATAAATTATGATTTATTAATACAAAGAAAATATTATGTAACCATTAAAAATTAAGTAATCTAAATGTACTTAAAAGATAAAAAACTGTGAAAGGGATAAAATGTGTGTTGGGAGGGGGGACACCAAGCTTCAATCATCTATGTTATGTACGTTCACATTTGTTTAAAATCGGTATCTATAAAATGACTGTATATGCATAATCTTGATGATACCCAAGAAACTTAGCAGTGGTTACTGCTCTTGGAGAACAGATTGGGGAAGGAAAGGTCACATCCAGGAGTGACTCTCACTTTTTGTCTCCATCTTTCTTCATGCTGTTCCAATTTTACACATGAGCCTGTATTAACTTATTAAAAAACGTTTTTAACAGTAAGAAGAAAAAAATCCACAGACCTCACAGTGACTCTTACCTAAGCGGCAAAGAAAGATGCTAGCTAATAAATCTGAGTACACGTTAATAATACATTTTATGAATTATTTCTTGACTTACTAAAAATACGTAGGCCATTTCTACTGTGATCTTAAATGGCATAAAATATATGCAAATGCCTTAATGTGGCACAATAAGCTAATTTCAAACAGATTTGGTTACTTACCCTCCAACCCCACAAATAGTGAGAATTTTAGAAGCGGATTTCTTGCTGTAAAGTCACACAAACCACTTCTTCAACCCACCCTCTGCCCCACAATCAGTTCCCTAAAGCACAAACATACAAGATACTTACAATTGATTTGAATGGTTAAGAGAGAACTTAAGTCACCCTTGTTAAAACTGCACTTAAACGTTGGGACAATCTGGAACATATATCTTCCACTCATCTTAGACTCCATTATCACCAAGTGAAAATTCGCACTGGTGACTTATAGAATGATCTGACGAAAAAAATTCACCTCCAGGATTGGATGGAAGCATGAAGAAAATAATGCCTCATTTATCTAAATGATCAAATGAATTTGCTAGAAATGATCACTATACCTTTTTTTCAATTCACAAAATGTCTCACTTAGGCCAGCCCACAGTTCCAATACATTATTTCCCCAATCTTCTGGTAGGCACCCTGTGAAGCTGTCCCACATTAATTTCTACTGCAATATCCTGGGACAAGGTGTCAAAAAGTAACAAGTGTCAAGTCTCCTTGTCTTTTATGATACCAGCTGGAAAAACGTAGGTCTTTAAAAATGAGACACAGCCTTTTCCTTCACTTTGAAGAGCACAGCAACAATTTTTCCAAAATCAATCTGCTCTCCACAGCCCCCCAAATCAAAATGTTAAAAGTACAACAAAATCATCATAGTATTCCTTGAACTTAAAAAAAAAAAAAAAAACAACTATTTCAAGGCACATTTAATTTAATATCAAGAGTGCAATACAAAAGGCCCAAATACAATGAAGGAAACACATTCCCCCATTAACACCAACGACAATGCTCTTTCAACATGTGCCTGTTGAATGGAATGGGGATTTAATTTCACTACTAAAAAAAATAATGCAGTGAGTCTCATCACAGCCAATATCCTTATACAATCTAGTAGTGAAATGAATGTTTATAATGCTTCAAACAGTTTCAACCTGAAGTTTGATACCACACCTTTTTGTTTGTACAGTCCTCAATAAGATTATCTACAGCATTAGCAACCATTCAAAGAACAAACCATTGATTAAAACCACATTGATTTAAGGCTCAATCAAGTAATATAGAGCCCCAAACTAAATGGTTAAATATATGAACTACTTGTACTGACATCTATTATTTGATTCTCTCGTGACTATTATTAAATTGGTTCTTAGCAAATAAACTCTTTAAAAGGCAAAATTCACCTCATTTGAGTTTTGACCCAGAAGTTCAACAACAATCACGAAGTCCACAGTCTTATTGGCAAAACTGATATACAGTGTCTCTAAGTCACTATGCTCAAGGTTAAGAGCGATGCATATTCCATTTTTACATTTTACTGGAATTTTACATGTTCAATTCATGATTTTAAATCTCTAGGTTTTCATTCCTCCAAACTGTCTGAAGACACAGTGTGCCACAGACTTAAAACTTCTGTTTCTCCCTCTATTTTCTTCAAACAGAAACATTTCTCAAGTGTCTACATGTTCTAGAAGGGGAATTTTTCGGAGGTGGCCACTTCTTCGGAATAGTCCGACGCCATCAGGCCTCTGAAGCAAGGGGAGGGGGAAGAGAAAAAAGCTGAAACACAAGGTTCATCTGGTAAGTTTTACATTAACCATTACAAGCTGGATAGTATAAGAATGTGGCTTTTTTTGGCTCAAAAAGTCTGAGTCTTGGTGTGGAAACGAGTACTTGGCTGTCCCACCACAGCTTTCTCGTAGTGGGACTGTCAGGGAAGTCTTGACTGGGGAGTATGATTTGTTTACCTATCAGGCGTAAACTTCCAGGCACTCAGTTCATTTTGGGCTTGTTCCAGTTTGTCTTTAGTCTGTTCCAGTTCACCTTTCATTTTTAGGAAAAACAAGTTGATCGCTGGGTCTACCATTGTTGATCTCAGTTGGGCAACGCTAGGCTGCTGGACTTGCTTGAGGTACTGGATTTGAGTCTGTACAAAGCAAAAAAAACAATTACTACCAAATCAAAGAAAAATACATACATAGGAAGGTGGGACAAAATCCCTTTCGTTCACAGAATTTACCAACTTAAGTCCTTCCCCCTTTGATCTTAATATCCTCTAAGAAAAGTACAAATTATAAACAACTATTTAAGGTTATCCATGTAGGAATTAAGGCTTTGATTGCATTTCCATATCTGGAAAGGCTACATCTTACTTTGAAACTAAAACGATACCAAAAAAAAATTCACTGTTGTATTTCCTAAAAGTGTTGACACCCACTAGAAAAAAGCCATGTGTAAAATATTATATAAGAGTACAGTGAGTGGTGCCTGGGTGGCGCAGTCAGTTAAGCATCTGACTCTCTTAGTTTCGGCTCAGGGTCATGATCTCACGGTGATGAGATCAAGCCCCACTGAAGTTTCTCTCTCCCTCTCCCTCTGCCCTGACCCACTGTGCACTCCTGCTCTATCAAATAAATATAAAAAAAAAAAAAGAAAAAAGTACAGCGGTTTACTCTTTCCAATTTGTATCTATGGAAATTATTCTATGTATATCTCCTAAAAAATACACCTAGTAAAAAATAACTTATAATACATATTTGTATTTCCAAATTTAAAAATATATAATGCTTATATTTACGTGAGTTGACATCACAGCATTATAAACAGCAGCTTAATCAATATATTCAATTTTTCCCTCTGAGTAGATTTGAATCATAGAATTGTATAGGTAGAATGTGCCTGACCAAATCCAAACTGCTTATTTTTGAAATTAAATAAGCTAGTTGTCCAAGGATACAGTTAGTTCAGTGCCAGAATTGAGACTTGAGACTAGAAAATGGTTCTCAAGCCTCCTCACTCCCAACCTAGGGCTTTTTCCACCACACCAGAACCCCTCTACTTACATATGAAACCTTCAATTTCGACTTCAGTTGTACTACTTACTAGCACACTAAAAATACATTTCTAAAATATGAAATACAGTTTATTAGCATTAAATGCATCACTTTCTTCACACCCAAAGTAGATTTGGTTCAACATCCTGCTGCACACTAAGGCTTAAATAGGATTAAAGTTAACAATTTATAAACTGTTAATTTCCACGATAAATTTAGTAAAAAATACAAATATCTGGATTGGGAATATATTTACTATTTCACTGAACAAACAGAAGTAATTTTTATTTAGCTTAATGAGATTTTTTTTTTTTAAAGTAACTCATTTTAAACAAAAAAGTACAACTGTTTATTCAATATAAGACCAGTTGCTAAAATAATTGAACAGGAATAAAGCATATCATATAGCATATACAACACGGCCTGGGATCCCTAAAGAAAACATGCCTCTCCAACACTGACATAGTTACTTTTTAGGTTTACAAAGTGACCTGCCCTCATCTGCACATATAATCTTGCCCTTTCCTTGTGTTTTTGCTCCTGCGGCCCTTTCTGCAAAACCTTACTCTGTATCTAACTGAAAACAGTTGTTCAGCTGACCTGTGCAGGGGAGAGCTGTAAAAAATATGACTGGAAATGGGTAGGTTCTTGTTCAAACAGCCTTAAAAACCTGGGATGAGAAGACAAAAGGGTGATGGAGCATCACCAAAGGCTTTTATCAGGCATCATACGATCAAAACTGCCAGAGTATATATAAAATAGCTGGAGAATCACAGAAGTGAGTCAAGAGCATATACTGTCTAGGTAAGTGTTAAGAAGTATAAGAACTACGTGTTGTATAAAAGGAAAACTCCCCTTGACAAGGATGGAACAGGCCCTCAGTCCTTACAACACATATATAGTTAAGGCATCGCCATCCACTGCGTGGCATCTAACCATTGTTTAAAAAAAAAAAAGTACATAAACTAGGATCGCAACAATAGGACCCAAGAAGAAAGAATTCAGGACACACTGGTGCTATGAGATAATACTACTGACATGATCCATTCACACTCTACCAGCGGCAGCACTTTGAAGGTAAGATTCATCCTTTGCATGTGATAAGCATGTAGCAGAGTGCCATGCAAACAGAGACCTAAAACTAGGTAGAATCTAGAATTGTTAATACCAGAAAAAGCAGAAAAGAACTAAAAAGTTTTAAAACTCAGTACTCTAGAGACATAGTACCCACTCCATTAGATATGAAAATCTAAGAGGGAAAAAAAATTTTTTTTTGAAGGGATGGAGTTACAAATAAAGAAAAAATTATATTCTAACTATTGGGCAAGACTTCCTGGAACTAGGTGTCCAGATTAAAAAAATAACCAAAGGTTGGGATGGTCAAGAGTTTAAATTACAGAAACTGAAGGTGTGTGATTACTGAGAAAAGAAATTTTAAGAAATAAAAGGACTCTGACTGAGCCCTAAAGAACACTATACTGGTAAGAAAAGAATTAGGAATAGGAGTGTGCCCCAAATATTATCACAGTCTCCAATGATCAGAATATTGCCTTCTGCATTAGATCTAACAAACAGTATTATCAGATCAATGGAGGTTACACAAAGAATTCAAGCAAATTTCAGATTTTTGGGGCGCCTGGCTGGCTCAGTCAGAAGAGCATCCAATTCGGCCCTCAGGTATCAAGAAAAATATCTGAATCAATATACTGATTCTTGTATCATGGAAATTTCAGAGAATAACTTAAAACTTTTAACTTCTTGGCCAAAAAAATTTTTATAATCCAACAATGGGGTGATCTACCAAAATTTTAGCATTTTATAGCTCAAAGCCTATCTACCTTAACAAAATGTTCGTTTGTAATTACTATTAAGTTTGTAAAATTAGCTAACTACCAATACATGTAATAATGCAGACTAAAAACCAATTCCTCAAAAAGACCTTAAACATTTGCAATACTTACAGTACACTCTTGCATCTCTTGCTCCTTGGTTGCTAGTCGCATTACAAGGATGTTTTCCCTGCGAGCAGACTCTTGCTGTTGTTGCTTTAGTTTTTCTTCAGACTCCCTTAACCCAGTTACATCATTAGCTGATAAATAAAAGAAAAAAATTCCAGAACATTATGAAATATAATTTCAAGATCAAAATGACCTACCCAAAATAAAGTTCTGATTGCCTTTGTCAAGAATAAAAGCAGGGGCAAAAAATTTCATCAAGTCTTTAATTTCTATCCTACTTTTATAACAATTTGTTATAAAATTTGTTCTTGATCATGAGTGCTCTTTTAGGAGATAGCGGTGTTAGAGTGGCCTACATCCACCTAATACTACATAGAATTATGTTGTTACTGTACAATCTACCTCCAACAGAACATGGGGAATGTCATTATCTTCATCTATAGCATGTCCACAACGTCCTGACTATATTGTTTTCAACCTATCCAATGAAAACATGCCAGTAACTACATAAACAATTATCACTTAAAGCTCTCACAATATTGGGGCATCTACGTGGCTCAGTCAGTTGAGCATGTACCTCTTGGTTTTGGCTCAGGTCATGATCTCTGGGTCGTGAGACTGAGCCCCACATGGGGTTGGGGCTCTGGGCAGAGTCTGCTTGAGACTGTCTCCTTCTCCCTCTGCCCCCCACAACCGCGCATATGCACGCGCAAGCTCTCTGAAATAAATAAAATCTTAAAAAAGAAAAAAAGCTTTTAGGGCACCTGGGTGGATCAGTTGGTTAAGTGTCTGCCATCAGCTCAGGTCACGATCCCAGGGTCCTGGGATCAGGCCCTATTTCGGGCTCCCTGCTCTGCGGGGAGCCTGCTTCTCCCTCTCCCTCTGCTGCTCCCCCTGCCTGTGCTCGCTCTCTCCCTCCCTGTCTCTCTCTCCGTCAAAAAAAGGAAATTGTAAAAAAAAAAAAAAAAAAAAAAGCTTTCACAATACTAATGTCTATGGATTATACTATAGTCATACAGTAATTGAAATTTCAGGGTATTAAGCTTTCTGAACTTGGAAAACAATACTGCTTGGTACACTCACAAATAGTATGTGACTCCTAACCCAGTGAAAAGTGACAAAAACTAAAATGGTTTGAAATTAATAAACTTTGTTGGTATTATTTTTCAGGTTTTGAAAAACCTGTAAATATGTACCTATACCCTATTATTACACATTAAGCTCTCAAATTTATGTGTTGCTTCAATGTACCTCCTTTCTAAAACCAGTAACTCATACTTCACTTTCAATTCTTCTGTGGAAGGAATTATGGACACATCAAGGAAAGTTTCAAGTGGTTGTGTATTTCCCCATCTCTACTCTCAGACACCTGTATGTAATTCTACTAAAACAATCATGCTATTATACAACTATTATATATCGGGTTTTCCCCAAATGACTGGGTAGGAATTCCTCAAGAAGAGGGATCATGGCTCATTCATCTATTTTGTAGCAGCAATATAGTGAGTGCTTGGGAGAGTTCTTTAACAAAATGCTTGAATGAAAATTACAATTGCTTAGGGGCACCTGGCTGGCTTAGTTGGAAGAGCGTGCGACTCTTGATCTCAGGATCATGAGTTTGAGCCCCACACTGGTGTAGAGATTACTTAAATAAAAACTTAAAAAAAACAAAATTACAATTGCTTAGTAAAACCAATTATCCTGTGTCTGTAACAAAAATCTAAAAGGAGACAGTCGCATAACTTTTAGGAAGCTAAAACTCAAACTTACAATTAAGATCTGTGTACTTGCCCTCCAAAGCTTGGACATATGCTTCATATTGTTTCCATCTAGTACAAAAATAAATTCATGTATTAGTTGTCACACTGATACTCCTTTTATTAAAAATACTAGAAAATTACACACATAAACTTATAAATTTAAGTAATGCCAGGAATTTCACTACATGATTTTTAACCAATAATAAAATTAGCCACTTCATTATTCCTTCTCAACTTACAGAAACTAGGTAAAAGAAAATACAGAAAAAAAGTGTTCTCTGCTAAGAATATACCAAGTATGCTCCTTTGGGTCAGTTCATATGTCTTACAGGACTTTGTATCTCTGAGGCTCAGCACAACGCCTGGATTACAAAAGCTAAGCACAAAACTTATTACTACTTTCAGATATGCTGTCTGCCTCAAACAAATGGAACCTAAGAAACGTGCCTAATTATAAAGAACTTAAAGGTTCTTTATCTTGGCTCTTTTGTGAAAATACCATAAAGCCAAAGCAGTGGTTCAAAGTAGTATTTATTTTTGTCTGTAAAAAAGGGAGAATATACTGTTTTCCAGGACTATTCTTTAAACCACACCTACTTGGCAGAAACAATCTGCATAAATGACATATACTATCAGAGTATGAAGGAACCTTTCTTCCTTGTTATATTCCTCTACCCTCAAAATACAAGCTATGTGAGCTTGGTAATTACTGTTGAAAACAAGGTCCCTAGTCTTATGTTTAAGCAACTAACAAAAAGTAACAAGCACTGAAATTCTGCTATCCTGCTTACTGAAGAGCTATGCTTTTAAGCTGCTCTTCAGTTACAGCTAATCAAAATTTACAGTTGATCCTTGACCAATGTAGGGTGGGGGTTTAGATGTGACAAGCCCTGCATAGTCAAAAATCCGTGTGTAACTTTTGACTCCCCAAAAAGCTTAATAAGCCTACTGTTGACCAGAAGGAAACCTTACTGACAAATATAAACACTTAAATTACACACATTTTGTATATGTATTATACACTACATTCTTACAATAAAGCTAGAAAAAGGAACCATTAAAAAAAAAAAAGAAAATACACTTGAAGTACTATACTGTACAAGATCTGAACTTAAGTGGACCCCCACAGTTCAAATCTGTTTGAAGGGTCAACGTACCTTTGATTTTAGAAAATCTTTCTATAAAACCTTAGTAACCTTGACAGGTTTGCTATGAGATATGTTAATATTACAATATAATGAAAAAAAATTTCCATAATACCAAGCTTTACATAAAGACTACTGTTCAAAGGCATGCTTATTTTTCTTTTAAGATTTTTATTTATCTGAGAGACCATGAGCAGCAGGAGGGGAGGGTAGAGGGAGAAGCAGTCTCCCCACTGAGTAGGGAGCCCTAGGTGGGACTTGATCCCAATGACGTGAGCTGAAGGCAGATGCTTAACCCACTGAGCCACCCAGCCATCCCTCAACCAAGAGCATCCTTTCAAAATGACAGATAACATAGAATAGTTAGATAAATAGCACTTGATTTAAAATCACCAAGAGAATTAACGAGGGGGAAAAACTCACTTAAAAGTCATACATGAGGGGGCGCCTGGGTGGCTCAGTTGGTTAATCAACTGCCTTCAGCTCAGGTCATGATCCTGGAATCCCAGGATCAAGTCCCGAATCAGGATCCCTGCTCAGCAGGGTGTCCTGCTTCTCCCTCTGACCCTCCCCCTTCTTGTGCTCTCTCTCAAATAAAAAATCTTAAAAAAAAAAAAAAAAAAAGTCACACATGAGAAGTCCCTAAAAGAAGTTAAAGAATATAAACTGCAGGGCTTAAAAACCTTAAAGGTAACTTAATATAAAAAATTGCTATGAAATTTTATTAAGATTATATTACTGATTTCTCTCCCTACAAATAAATGAAGACTACACATACTAACCAGAGATACAGAGAGAGTATCAACACGTGAGCGGCAGTATATCAAAGCAAGGGTCTACACCTCAGCAGGAGAGGACAAGTGTTTTAGAATACTAAGAATTTAAATTTCATGTATGAGAAAACAGTATGCAATGAAAAAACAGTCCTTTGCATGAAGACGATAAAGAGCTTGTCCACAATATGAGTAGCTAAGGAAGGTGGGAAATTACCAGACTCTATTTAACAATGGTACATGTTATCTGCACCTGCCTATTTTATAAAACACCTTTTCTGGGGCACCTGGGTGGCTGTCGGTTACACATCTGCCTTTGGCTCAGGTCATGATCCCAGGGTGCTGGGACTGAGCCTGGAGTCTGGCTCCCTGCTCAGCAGGGAGCCTGCTTCTCCTTCTGCCCATCCCCCAGCTCGTGCTCTCTCTCTCTCTAATAAAATCTTAAAAAAAAAAAGAAAAAAACTTTCTTTGTATCTAAAAATTATCATCTAAAAAACTTATCACCCAAAGTAATAAAATGTAAAAAGAACAAATTTAAGTTACACAACACAAAAGATGTGTTGATCCCATTTTATATTAAAAAAAGAAATACCCTTAATGCTGTTCTTCACCACCAGCTTTTAAAAGACATTTATAAGATAACCACAGAAATTCAGAGCTTGGAGTAACCTTTTAAAGTAATTTAATTCAACTCCTTAACTTGCAGAGGAGAAAATGGATATAGTTATACGAACTGACCAATGTCACAGTTATGAAAAAGAGTAACTTTGCTCTCAGTAAATAATGTATTTCTTCCATAACTAAACATGTCATCCTTTAGGACTACAACTTTTTCACGCATTAATCAGAAAAGGAAAAAATAATGACATCAAAACAAGTCTACGTTATTTGTTAAATTGAAAGCTTTCTAAGAGCAGGGTCTTTCAAATGCTTTAAGTTAAAATTCTGAGTATCTTCCCTCTGCAAGAAAAACTGAGGTTATCTAGCAATCTAGAAGTTACCCAAGCTAGTACTTTAGTTCTTTCAAGTGTTATGCTTTCCTCAGTGTTTACCTATTGAAGAAACAGACCATAGAAAGTGCGTTCAAAAAGTACATTAAATGATTTGAGGATGTATTAATGTTAAAAACCAAACAAACTTGAAAATAATTATAGGATAGAATCACAATATATTCTATAGAAAGCATTTTATATTTTTGATAAAAGAACATTTTACCTTAGAATTAACTCATCTCGTGCCATAACTTTGAAGTCTGTTTCACTCAGCCGAACCTATATATAAAGAAAATTAAAATATGAAATGACTGCTCTTCCTAAAACTTTTAAAATATTAAATACCACTGGCTCTTATATTCTTCATATTTTTTATAAAGACAGGATCTTATTTTAGTCCCCCAATTGCTCATTTCTGTTATTAGAAATACCCTTATTATTGAAGATACACAAAGTCCCTCCCAAAGGACCTCTGTGCTGAAATAATATGAAACCTCTCCAGAGCCCCAGGTTAAATGGCCCAGTACATATTATTGTTTTTTTAAAAATTTTATATTATTGTTTTTAAAAGGTACACTATCTTTAATATAGGCATCATTCTTAGGGAAATGCAAATTAAAACTCCAATGAGCTATCACTACACACTTTTTAGAATAGCTTTTAAAAAAATAGTGGTAACACCAAATGCTGGGGTAAGATGTAGAGAAACCAAACTTTCACACATTGCCGGTGAGAATGTAAAATGGTACAGCTGCTCTGGAGAATATTTTGGCAACTCCTTTTAAACTAAAAATGGATGTGACATACAACCAACCCAGCAGTTGCATTCATAAGCATACATCTCAAACAAATAAATTTATTTTCACACAGAAATTTGTAGATGAATGTTTACAGCTTTATTTGTAGTAGCCCCCAAACTGGAAACTACCCAAATGTCTTTCAACAGGTGAATGGTTAAACTATGATACATCCATACCCCTGGAATACTAGATTCACCATTAAAAAGAAAGCCTATGGATCAACTCAGATAAACCTCCAGGAAATTATACTGGGTGGAAAAAAATAACTCAAAAAGTTACATATACTGCCTGATTTCATTTGTACCTTTGTGAAATAGCATAATTACTGAAATGGAGAACTGATTAGTGGTTGCCAAGGGTTTGGGATGGATGGGGCTATAGATGATTGGCAAAATGGAAGCTTGTGGTAATGCTTCAGTTAACTATTTTGGTTGTGATGGTGGTTACACTAAGTTACCCGTGATGAAGCTACACTGAGCTATCAAAACACACACAATATGCCCGTGTTAAACTGGATTGTATCAATGTCAAGTTCCTGGTTTTGGTGTTGTTATGTAAGAAGTCTGATAGTTATGCAAGATTAACACTGAAGGAGGCTGGATGAGGAGTGCCACAAAACCCCCTGTACATTTTTTTGCAGCTTTCGGTGTAACAATAATTATTTTAAAATAAAAAGTTTTTAAAAATGGGCACAATATTCTAGCTGAAACTGCTTTGTAAACTGAGAAATATTAAGTATTTCTCTATACCAAGTGAAGATTGTAAAGGTGAAGCACCTCTGCTGCTTTAGTATAAAATTAATGCTTTATTAGTTTCCTTTATAAGAAACTTGTTTCAAATTTTAATACTAACCAGTAGCATAGTACCATTATAGAAGAGAGCTAATCATTGTACCAAAATATATTAAAAGTCTAACAGAAAGTGGGGCGCCTGGGTGGCTCAGTCGTTAAGCGTCTGCCTTCGGCTCAGGTCATGGTCCCAGGGTCCTGGGATCAAGCGCCACATTGGGCTCTCTGCTCAGCGGGAAACCTGCTTCTCCCTCTCCCACTCCCCCTGCTTGTGTTCCCTCTCTCGCTGTGTCTGTCAAATAAATAAAATCTTTAAAAAAAAAAAAAAAAATCTAACAGAAAGCACACAGTTAATTCTGATTATTAAAACACAGTAAAATTCTTTATTGCATGAATAATTCGACTTCAAAACTTAAGACAAATCCATACTACTTATCATCTAAACTGTTCATTTAAATATTCACTTGTTAATAAGCTCATACCCTGCTTTCCCATTTGAATTATAAATTACCTTCAGAAACTATGTTACTTTGCGACTTTAAGAGTGTGTGTTTGTGTGTGTGTGTGTGTTTAATAGTGACTAAACTGAAGCTAGGGAAACAGAACAGGGAGAAAATGAGACTAGAAAACAACTTCAGAGAAGAAAGCAGAATCTACAAACTAGCTATAACCTTCTGTTGAAAAATAAAGAAGTGGTTTTACCTTACAACCAAAGGGATTTAAAAAGTACGAAAGAAAAGAAAAGAAGTAACTTATAAACAACTCGTGAAGACATCTTTTTTCACATTTATAGTTATGTAGGTAGAAATATTCACAAAGCAAAAATTAAGAGTAGACCACAGAGATAAATTAGAACACAAGTTTTCCAAAAACTGAAAATATTCTAAAAATACATTGCATACAAGATAAAATATCTAGCACATTATACACCCACAATGCTAGTAGTGTTATAACGCAAGAGAGTGAAAAATAAGCAAATAAAAAGTCCTTTCAAATCTATTGATTGCCCCCCCACCAAGGACTTAAAAACTGTGGGCAAAAAAACAAAACACACCTTTTTGGGAAGAGGTTCCTCGTTGGTCATCTTGAATCCTAGGAAAAAGGGGCAGAGAAGAAGTTCAACTGATATTCTTCCAGTTAAGGTAGTAACAAGAAATAGCGGCTCTGCCAAACCAATGTATTAGGGAACTCAGATTTGACCAAATCATTAGTTATTTAATAACAGTTTTAGATTTACAGGAAAGTTACAAAAATATTACAAGGTTCCTGTATACTCCAAACCCACCTTTCTCCTTTGTTAACACCTTACATTACCGCTATTCTTAAGTTATTAAAAAAAATTCCTTTGCAAAAAAAGTTGATCATTCCTTTTGATATTCCTATAAAGGACTGACAGAAATGTAAATTTTCAATGCATTCTTACAACCACCCTATAAGAAAGACAAATCTCACAGAAGTGACATCACTGTGCTAAAGTCAGACACTGACCTCAGGCAGTATCCCAGGCATCTTGCTGAAAGGATATGAAGTATAGTTCCAGTTGCTAAGCCTTTCCTTTTACAACATCATGTTGTTAGAGTAAGGTAGACTCTATCATTGTGATAATTCACTACTGTACAATGCTTACATATATGATATATATTTACACCTTAATAAAATATTCCTACACTAATTTCATGCCACAGAATTTGTATCTCAAATTAGTTTCATAAATTTATACAAAATTGACTTAACAATAGCAAAACATAGGTTATGCAACAGAACTCTCATTAACTTTATTATGTTCACTGAAAACACTTCTACTTCCTAATATTCAAATAAGGACACAAGCTAATTTAAATTTATTCCTAGGTTTTATTTCCAACAGCTTTGTCATGAATCTTCCCCTTATATTTTACACTTCCTTTATATTCATTTTACTAAAAAAAAAAGATATATTCATTTTACTTACAACAAATTCCAAGAGATGTACAGCATGGTAACTATAATTAATAATACTGTATTGCATGTTTGAAAGTTGCTAAGAGAATAAATCCTGAAGGTCTTCAAAAGGAAAAAAGTAAGAACTATTTTCTATGTGGTAACAGATGGTAACTAGGCTTAAAGTGGTGAACATTTCACAGAATACACAAATATCCATTATGTTGTACACCTGAGACTAACTGACCTTACATGTCAATTATACAATTTTTAAAAAATTAGCCAAAGAATTTATAGTGTAAAACTGAATTTTTAAAAGCTACTGGACTTCATATTATTTGAGTTCCTCAAAAGGAGATAATCTTCCGATACCATTTTTTATGTTACATACCATCCCAACTCTGTAAATCAGATATTCCATTCATAAACTGCCATTAAAACCTCATTTTCAGACTAGATATACTGTGTTGAAGAAATCAGTACATTTTAGAAAAAAATCATAAATTGATCATATATTATATAGTAATATAATTCTTTTTTTTTAAGATTTTATTTATTCATCTGACACGCAGAGATAGAGATAGAGAGAGAGAGAGAGAGAGAGAGAGAGAGAGAGAGCATGAGCCGGGAGAGAGGCAGAGGGAGAGGGAGAAGCAGGCTCCTTGCTGAGCCAGGAGCCCGATGTGGGGCTCGATCCCAGGACCCTGGGATCATGACCTGAGCCGAAGGCAGACGCTTTAACCATCTGAGCCACCCAGGTGCCCCTAGTAATATAATTCTTAATATAATTCTGGCTTAATTCTTCCCTCTTTAATAATCTTTTTTTTTTTTTAAAGATTTTATTTATTTAATTGACACAGAGAGAGAGAGACACAGAGAGAGAGGGAACACAAGCAGGGGGAGTGGGAGAGGGAGAAGCAGGCTTCCCGCCGAGCAGGGAGCCTGATGCGGGGCTCGATCCCAGGACTCTGGGATCATGACCCGAGCTGAAGGCAGTCGCTTAACCAACTGAGCCACCCAGGTGCCCCCCCCTCTTTAATAATCTTATCATTGGATGCAGCAAGCAAAAACCTGAGTATGTCATTTTTCTTCTGAGCTAATCAAGCTGACCAAGTCTCTGGCCAATATCTATAAAGACATAACCATATTTCTATGATTTAAGGTCTGTACGTTTTTCTAATTTTTTCCTTTAAATTGGTCCCTGTTTACTTTAGACCTCTTCTTGTTGCCCAGTTTATACTCTGTTAGAAGTAATGGACAGCGCCTTAGTGACTATCCTAACATGTTACCAGTGATTCCAATCATTTGGGAAACAAACCTTCACCATGTTTATTCCCACAGAGATCTACTTCTATTTTAGTATGTTTAAAGTACATTCACTCTACTTGACTGCAACCTCAAGCCTGGCATTTCCTTGGAACTTCCCATTTGTCTAAGCTAAATATAATAGGTAAACATCGATTCTAGCCATTTGAACTTTTAGCCAATTTAACTAGTATATGTGTACCTATATATGTCACTAACCTGATTAAATCCTTCTAAAGGCTCCCATCTCACTCAAAATAGTGCATGCCAAACCTCTGCTATCCCCTCACATCAATCTTTATTTTTCTTCATAGTTCTTATCATGATCTGATATTTTACATACTTATCTGTTTCTCCCAATTATAAAATAAGCTCCATGAGAGCTGTTTCATTCACTGCTAATGCCACAGTACACAATAGGCACTCAAACATATGCTGAATGGAAATATGAACAAATGAATTTGCTTCAGTTACTACTGAAATCATTAGTAGTGAGCTAAATAATCCAATATAATTTTCCCCAAAAAATAACCATGATGACCTACTGTAAAATTTTGAGAATGTGAAACCTAATGTAACAGATACTGTGGTAAAAGGCTGTAAGTGACAGTTTGAAAATTTACCACTGCGGAGAGTCTACCTGTTAACTAGTTAACGGGCACTATAGCTACTCAAAACTTTAGTTATAAAACTTAAGCATTATGGATGTTACTCAATATAAATTCCAGTTATAAACTAGTAAATGCTTCTACAACATGACACTTTCCCCAGATTTATTAATTCATTCTTTCCTTAATACATATCCAAATTATTCCATTAAAGTAAAATTAATTGCAAGCTTTATTAGCAACAAATAAGCTACTGTTTTTAACGGGCATTGAAAGGACTAGGAAACACAGGAAAGAAGTTCTAGTAACCCTGCTTTTCTATAAGAAGGTGGAAACTATGAAAACAAAAAAAGCCACAGAATTTGAGCGTCGGTTTCCCATCCCAAAATGGATTATCACCACCAAGGCTCAAAATTATTCAGCTACTTCTAAAGATAAACTATATTAATCTTTAATATGGTCACTAGCACAAAATAAGCAATTACTAGTTTCCTTCTCCCCATGAAAAAAAACAAAGACTCTCAATCACTACTTCTTGAAGAAACTGAAGGGAGAATTCAAAGGCTGAGATAACAATGAAGACCTGCTGCTCCTGTCATTTTTTTTTTTTTTTAAGATTTATTTATTTGAGAGAGAAAGAGACAGAGTGGGAGAGGGAGAGAGAGCAGCAGGCTCCCTGTGAGCAGGGAGCCCGATGTGGGGCTTGATCCCAGAACCCTGGGATCATGACCTACACCTGCTCCTGTCTTTGTTTCTAAGCCCCACTGCAGAATTCTTGGTGATCTCCAATCTTTAAAACTCTAAACAGCAAGGTTTTAAATTTTTTAAACACTGGTTTATATTCTCTTCTAAAAAGTTTGATGGTGGACAAATTTTAATTACACATCGCTCAAAGAATGTGTATATTTTCTTTATAAAAATAAATATAAATTTGTGGCATACGCCAAAGATAAAAGCAGTTTTTGTATAAAGGTTTGCATTTCATGTTGACTCTGAGTCACATGTCATTCCACATGTTATAGAATATGTCACTTAGGAATTCAAAGGTTAAGCATTTTGAAAGAAATTCCTCCCTGATTTTTAGCTACTGAAAAATCAATCTTTCCTTCAGAGTCCATAATATGCCATAAGAGTTAAACAAGCAGCTTGGCAAAAGGCAAATTAGAACAGGTTTAAATTTAAAAGTATCAACATTCAACTATTTAGTCAAAATAAAATTTGGTTTTCAAATTTGACTTTCACATTGCATGAATATACTAAGAAAATTATTCCCCAAGGCAACCTTTAAATTACAACTGAAAGCACAACAGTCATCTAAAATCAATTCTAGATTCATGAAGACAGTGTACATCCCAGGTTCTTAGATCTGTTTTTGTATCAGAAAAATGGAGTAATTGAAATATCTGGAGTTGAATCCTGAATCTTGGGGGGAAAAATGAGTATATACTCATTGCTATGAGTCACACACTTAACAATCACAACTTTTCAAAGTCAAAGTTAGCCTCCATTTTCCAGATGATGAAAATGATTATGAGTCACTAAATGATTAACTCTGGTCAAAACAGCTATTAATTAATAAATTGGGGGTTAGGACCCCAAATGCAGCACCTCTCTAAAGTTGGGAACTGAGGAAGACGGATTATTCTTCCACTCTTCCATCCTCGATAATGAATAAGCTTAACTAACTAAAGAACACAGAAAAGCAAAAGAGAAAAAACTTAAAGTTGGCTAATATGGCTACCTTTTTGGAGGTTTAAGATTGCTTAAAACATGGTCTTAAAATTATGTGAAGGTTTTAGTTATTCACATGCATTAATTCAGGATAATCTCTTAAATTCAGATCTCAGAATCACTATGTACTCTTGATGTCTTTTAACACTGACAAAAACTTTACGATGGAGAGTTCAGTTTCAGTTGGCTAGGTGCCTAGCATCCCAGATCACAACACTTCCCTGGCTCTTAGCATTATGATCCTAAGTTATGCAACTCAGTTCTCTCTTAGAGAGGTGAACACCAGCCAACACAATTTGAAAAAGCACGTACCTCACTGAAACCAATCCTAACTAAACTCAAAAAACTAACAATCCGACAGCAAACAACCTTGGCTCTATAGTAAAAAGGGTATTACAGTTAGGAATCAGACGACCACCTTTTCCTGATTCTTATCAGTCAATGGATCTTGAGCAAGTCACTTAACTCTGGGCTGCAGTCTCCAAATCAGCAAAAAAAAAAAAAAAAAAATACCAATTTTGCCTGCCTTACAAAGTGCTGCAAATCTCAACGCTGAAGTGCCATAAAAATGTTACACAAAGGATTTTTCAAATAAAATATCAACATCAAAAGATAATTTTAATGTGCATTTTTAAAAATTAAACTAAATTCCACCAACTACATGTTCAAGAGTGGAGAATATTTATTTATAGCACCCAGTTCTAGCTTGATGAACCAGCTTAATATCCACTGGGATATACGGTTATGGGAATACTTAAAAGTTTTTCTGAGAAGCTGAGTATCAGAAAACATTTAGAGGCAAAAAAGTAGGAAATAATTTTAAAAATAAAAACAAGCATAAAACCAAACACTATCTGGATCTTGTTTTGCTAAAAGACCCATCAACTTAAAAATTTTAAGAGTCACCTTTTTTCAAGAGCAAGATAACATACTATTATATGGGGCGCCTGGGTGGCTCAGTTGGTTAAGCGTCTGCCTTCAGCTCAGGTCATGATCCCAGAATCCTGGGATCGAGTCCCACATTGGGCTCCCAGCTCAGCGGGGAGCCTGCTTCTCCCTCTGACCTCTCCCCTCTCGTGCTGTTTCTCTCTCTCTCAAATAAATAAAATCTTTAAAAACAAAAAAACCCATACAATTATATGAAAATGCTAAGACCACCAAGTACAGGATATTTTCAAGGAGATTCTATACTACATACATACAAGAACACAAAGGGCTTTGCAACCTGTAACGTCCTGTACAAACATAATCACAGCTCTTGTCTCCACACTGTAGAGATTTTCTGTATCATATGGACCAACTCATTCCTAACACACAAAAATATTTTGAGCAGGCATGACTCAAAATTGAATCAGTAAAACTAGATATTATTAAGTTCTGATGAGCGAAGTAAAACATCAGCAGTGCCTGGGACACACTTTTATTATTACTTGCCTCCTTTGGGATTTAGAAATTTATGCTTCACTTCCACCACTGGGAACTGAAAATACTACCACTTGGCTACAGCTATGTGTTTAAGACAAGGTAAGATCTAAAATAAAAGAACTCCCCAAATACACCCACCCAAACCCTCAAAATTTAACTTCATCCTTAGCACATGCCACCTGGTGCACTGCAATTTCCTTCCCCGACTTGCCTCATCAGGTGCTCCTGAACGACAGTAGTAAATAAAATTAGGTATCTTGAAAAGATTTTCCAACGTGAGTTTTTTTCTTAATGGGGGTTTGAATGTCAACAACCGATGCACCTATCACAGAAAACTTAATGGTCAGAACTTAAAAAATTAAAAAACGAGAACTCGTGACAGACCCGTGACTTCCACTTATCTTCCTCAGTAATGGAATTAGCTAAATTCTAAGAAATGCAAAACTAGATGGACAACTCAAAACTGTAAATACTCTCTTGGAAATACTCTTCTACCTAGCGCAAAAGAACCGTCTCTCTACTTTAGAAACACAGTTATTGAGGAATGTAACACAGTCCTTTAAGATCAAATTGACTTCATCCAAACAAGAACTTGGACTTTTCCACTGTGTCCTCCACTAACTAAATACGGCTTTCAAAAATCAAATAACCTTAGAGAGACCCAAGACGAGACTTAAAAATTGCACGAAAACCTCCCCCTACAGAATTAATACAGAATTCTCTCTTTACTCGGAACGTATGCCATCATTTAAAAAATGGAAGTCTCCAGGAGGATGCAGCTGCAGTAATAACCTGCGCGACGTGAAAATCTGGTCAACGAACACGGCTTTCCTTCCCTTGCTGAACTCGTTAGTGCCGCCAATCCTCGGAACCCAGAGGAGAGGTGGGAGAGGGCGACATAGAGGCGGGCACACGACGTGCACCGAGGGGGCGGCCTCCCGGTATCGCCGGCCCGCGGGAGCGCCCACCTCGCCCCCGGGACGGAGGATGGAGGCAAAATGGCCTCGGGACGGCGGAAGTGTCCCCGCAGGCGGGAAAGAGGCGCAGCTAACGGGAGGCCGGCGGGCCCGGGAGCCCGACTCACCCTCTGAGCTCTGCCCGCCCCTTCCCGGGCCGGCCGCGCCTCAGCCCTAGGGACCCGGAGGTCCTCGCGGCCGCTCCCGCCGGCGGCCCGCACCTACCTCTCCAGACGGAGGCCGCGCCGGCGCCGCCCAGTCACATAGGCCAAGGCCGCGCTGCCCGCTCGCTGCCCAGACCTCCAGACCTCACTACCCCCGGCCCCCGCGCTCCTCCTACCGCCGCAGCCCCGTCGCTCCCCTTTATTTGCGGGTCTCGCTGCCACAAAATGGCGCTGAGGGAGGACGCGAGGCCCCGACGCCCCACCCCCTTCCCGCTCCGCCCGCCGCCCCGCCCCGCCCCGCCCACCGCCCCGCCCGCCGCGCAGCCCGGCCCTTAACGCGCCGCAGCCGTCGCCCGCCCTCGTCGCCGCCCCGCCATGTTTGCGTCCGACCCACTCACCTAGTCGTCTCACGGATGCGGACGCAGCCACCACCCCGTCCCTGGGCCCCGCTGCAGGGAGTAGAGGCGAAGGGACGGCGCTCGCCCGGAGCCTCCAGGCGCTAAGGGAGGAGTTGCGCTTGGGTAGCAGGCCCCGCAGATTTGGAGCCCTGCAAACTCGGCGGGGGCGGGGGGAGAATTGGGCCGCGAGGAGGGGGTGGGCGACGAGGTCGGAGGTCAGCCGCGGGGCATCACGGGAAGGGCGGCGGGGGTCGCGATTGGCGGCACGGGGCGAACGCGCTCGCCGGGCCACCTGCGGCTGCGGCGAGCCTCTGGCGGAGGAATCTGGGCCAGACGGCCCGTGATTGGCCGGTTTGTGGTGCAGGGTGCATCGGAGATGCTTCCGCGCGCTGGCGGGCCAGGTGCAACCTCAGGATCTAGGCCGTGGGTGGAGAGTAGGGTCAGTTCAGGCTTCGCTTAGCCTTGTTGCTTGAAAGCTTAGAAACCAGTGTTCTGTCTTCTGAAACGCAACATCCCGGCTTCTTGGTTCATCCCCACCTTGACGTCCCGAGGCTAAACGGAGGAGCTATTGTCTAGCAGATGGGGGTTGTGCCTATGTCAGCAGCTCTAGGGGCACCTTGCAAACTCTCGGAAACGCGGGGAAGGCGAACCCTGTGAGTTGTTAATGAGCCTTATGAAATACGTTTTGTAATTTGAATATGCTCCATTACGCAAGGCTTTGTGTCACCCAGACCGTTGCGTAAGAACGATGGTGTTACCTGCCAAGCGTGAAACAGTTTTTCACACTTACTACAAGGGGCCAGGTAACTCTTTTGATTGATCTTCCCTTATCCGGCTTTACTAAAAGTGTTTATCCTTAAAGGAGCTGTCCCGAAATGAGGTGATTTATAAGGATAAGATTGGCGTGTTCTCCAGATGGTCAAAGGGTTCATGGTATATTCCCAGTAAGTCAGATCAGTATGGAGAAAATATTTGCAACTTACAGCACAGGAAATCTTGAAAACTGGGAAAAGACCAAAATCCAAAGAGAATTTTTGGGCAAGAACGTGAACAGACAATTCACAGGAAAGAATAGCACTGGGTCCTCAAACATAAAAGACTGTTTGTCCTCACTTATAATGGAAATACACATTGAAATTACGAAACTCTGGAGAAGCAGTGCTCATAAATTTCTTCGTGGCAATGGAAAAATGACTGAAGACCTATGGAGTACCAAAATGCCATTTGCATTTATTCTTAAATCTTGCAATTCTACTTCTAACCCAAACCGTATTCTGAAAATACACCTCCACAAATAGAAACAACGTGTAGGCAAGGTTACTTGTTGCAGTGTCATTTGTCATAACAAAAGTTTGGAAATAACCCGAATGTCCACTAATAGGGAACTGGTTGCACATGATAAAACCATACAATGGAAAACAATGCAGCTGTAAAAAAAAAAAAAATGAGTTGCTTTGGAATGAGTCCCAAGTTATATGGAAAATTGGAAGGATAGGGCGCCTGGGTGGCTCAGTCAGTTAAGTGTCTGCCTTCAGCTCAGGTCATGATCCCAGGGTCCTGGGACCAAGTCCTGCATTGGGCTTCCTGCTGATTGGGGAGTCTGCCTCTCCCTTGGCCCCTCCCTCGCCACTCGTGTGTACTCGTGTGCTCGCGCGTGCTCTCTCTCGGTCTCGGAAAAAAATAAAATCTTAAAAAAAAAGAAAGAAAAAATTGAAAGGATATCCTAGAAACAAAAACGGTTACCTACAGAGGATTGTGGAAAGGGTGCAGGGGAAAGAAGAAGAAGCAAAACGTCTGATTTTGAACTTCTAAAGTTTTACATAGCCAAAATAAGCGAAGGAAACAAAGTAAACGTTGAAAGCAAATTGAAACAAACTTATCTTTAAGTCAAATTGGTAACATAACTAATGTTGTTACCCAGAGAAAATAATTATTCCCCCAGGGCTTTTGAACATGGTACTCAGGCAACATCTGTGGTGGGATATGTGCTAAGGATGAAAAAGAACTACAAAGGAATCTTAAGCTTCTCTCAGTGCTTTAGAATTAATGGCGATACTGTTGCTGTGGTTTTGAAACTATATATTATAGGATAACAAGTAATACTATAATGTATAACTTTTAGGCAGAAGAGAAAAGGAGGTACAAATATAAAATCAAGGAAATTCAGAAAAAGCCTGTAATACACTTAAATTATAAGTATCAGTTTGAGCACGTGATTCTAAAAATAAATTTCCTGGTTCTGTGCACTGAAATGGCCAAGAAGCACTAGGGTGACAAACTGTCCCAAGGGATTTCCCAGGATGCTGCCTTTTCGGTGTTAAAACTGGAACTGTCGGAGGCAAACCAGGATGCTTGGTCACCTTCAGGAGCAATGAGCACACTTGCCCCCCAGATCGTGGTTTCTAAATTCCATTTCTCACTAAATAGATCCAAAACTCTTTGGAGAATTGGCTGATTCCAGGCTGAGGCAGAGAAAGTACAGGATGAGTCAGACATTTTGTGCCTCAATGCAGAGGAAGTGCTTAGGCTAATAAAGGTAAGCCAACAAGACTCGGGAGAGCAGGCAAAACTGATCTATAGGGATAGAAGTCAAATCCATGCTTGGCTGGGGGGGGGGCAGAGCATGAATTGACTGGAAAGGAAAATGGGGAACTTTGGGGGGTTATGGAAATATTCTACATCTCGATTAAGGTGGTGTTTACCCAGACTTTGTATGTGTGTATATATATGTATATATAACATACGTATATGTCACCATTCATCACACTGCATCACTAAATGGGCACACTTGATGTCAATTTTACCTCATATAAGGTATACATATTTATTATGGAATACACTTCGTATAAATTAACCCTCTTATGTATGTATGTATTCATGGTAATTTTAAGATCAAAAGGAAAATGGCAACGATTAATTGTAAATACTGGATAAAAAAATCTATGACCCTAGAGTAACACTTGATGAGAGAAGGAGTGGGGGATGATTTTCCATCATTGGAAATGAGTATTACATCAAGTCACTCTGAAAATGAGCAATTAAAGGGAATATAGTATTTTGCCCTCCTTTTTTTTTTTTTTTTTTTTAAGAAAAGGAAAATTGTGGTTCACTCCTGGTTAATGAGGAAAACCTTTTCTTCACAATAGGGTGCTAGCAAATGTAGAATAAATAATGTAATTAGCAAATAATTAGTATGCAAATCTAAAATAATTGATTCAGGCAAGGATCATCAATGGACTTTAAAACCTAGAGTATGCATTTGGAACCAAAATATCATTTCTCAGATTATTTATCTAATAGTGAAGAGAATACATTTTTGTAGTGGAGTCATTTTGTGGTCACCATCTGAACCAAATGAACAAATTTAGAATCTGTAATAGTGGGACAACCTCCAATTTACAGAAAATACAGGAGAAAGAGTAATAGTAACAAATCTAATGGCACTAGCAAAATTATTCCCCCCCAAACTTTACGAAACTGTAAGCAATAACTTTTTATTGAACACCTGAGTTAGGTCTAGCCCAGTCCTCAGTATCACTATCCACCCAACTTTAAGCTACAATTTCAAAAGAGATATCAAAGTATGCTGAAAGTTATTTACATTTGACTGTTTTGAATAGCACATGCTGTTGAGTTAGATTGACGTGAAGTAAATTGGCCACTTCTTTCCCATCAGCCTAGTAGCCTATAACCTATATTCCTACTACTTTGATTTGGGAACCATCTAATAAAATATGAATAGGAAAAAAGAGGAAGAAGAAAAAAGGCATTCACAGTAAGTCTGGCCTTTGTCATTGGCACATAAGAAGTCCAGAGACCTTGGAGATGGGCAGAATTGGCAGTTAAAGAAGTTGGTAGTAATTCATGTATGCTCTTCTGAGCTCAGAGATGGTGTGACCATGACCCTGAGCATATCAAGTTTTTCCATAAGTCAGTACTTTAGCTTGATCCATTCTTCCTGTCTGCCTTGCTCTTTTACTCTTCCTTACTAGGTTATCTGCTATTGCTCATTAGCAATTAGCTTTAGAGACATTATTTAGCCTATTATGTGTTGATCATGGAGATTTGTGGTTTCACACATGGGGAGCTAAACAAAGCTTTCTAGACCAATTTTTTGTATTTAAGCTAGTGGTTTTACAGTGACTTTCTTAAAAAGTTTATCTTTGAGCAGCAATGCAATATACTAACCCAATGTATCTAATCCTTCAGGTTTCGTTAACGTTTACAACAGTAAAGCTAATGATGTTTAGTCTTTCTTTACAGACCAAAAGAACTCCATTGGTACTCTTTAAACAAGTTTTAAAAAATAAGTAATTATATTCATATAATAATTTTTACAAGTACTATTTTTAAAATGCTATTTCACTGTACTTATCTCCTGAACATAATACTGAACAATTTTCCAGGCTTTGTTTCCTTGTATTTTTTTTTTAAGATTTTATTTTTCTGAGAGAGAGAGTGAGAGAGTAGGAGGGGGGAGGTGCAGAGGGAGAGGGAGAAGGAGGCTCCCTGTTGGGCAGGGAGCCCAATGCAGGACTCAATCCTAGGACCCTGAGATCATGGTCTGAGCCAAAGGCAGATGCCTAACCAACTGAGTCACCCAGGTGCCCCTTCTTGTATTGTTTTGAATCAGTGTATTTGTTATAAACACAAGAAACATTCATTAAATATTTGCCACACTGTACTAAATACAGAGGAAATTTTATTCCCCAAATAGTGGCTCTACTGTGAAGTTTCAATCATTCTGAATCCTTGATGGGGGCAGGGAGCAAAGATAATAGAGGTGTGGGGAACGCAGAATCACTTGTTCTTGAAAACAGGCTTGTCTAGTTCCTGGG